AAATGTATTCTTTTTTTGCTAAGTGTATATATGTCTCTTATTGCACATCCAAATATCCTCGAATAAGCAAGGTCTGGGTAGCAAAGTTCTAGTTGGAAATGTATAGATTCTAGAAAACACCCCTACGGAGAAGGGAGGAAGGAATAAAAATAATTTCAGTAAATCAATTTAGTGACCCAGTTGGTGATGTCAGCCACACACTGTTGGCGTGCCAGAGCTGGGTAAGCGTTGTCACGCAACAACAAATGCCACCAAAACTACTGTGTCATAGAACTGGACTCTGACACGGTAGCAGAGAATGAATTAACTTGTTAAATTTGAGTCATGAAGGTCGCTCATACTACTAGTGTTACAGGAAAAGTGCTCTGTGGTTACTTTGCTGTGACTCACTCTCTCCAAGTAAAAGCAGCATGGTGTCAAGGAACCTGTTGACAGAGGAATATACAGTGAGAGGGAGCAAAAGGGAGTAATTTTCTTTTAAATTGAGGCAGTGCCTCATAACAGAATTATACCGTGGTTTTTTTAGATGTATCGCTTAAATTGTTGTTAAAATTGAATGACAGTGTGTGTTGTTTGCATTACCGTAAATTCCTTTGTGAATGAAGTGATTCATCTTGCTACACACAGTGACTCCAATGCAGATGCAAGAAACATTCTTTTTTGGCAACAGTAATAATTAGTAATAATTATGCAGTAGGGTCCATAGTTACTGATAGTGTATCCCTGCTTAAGAAATGGATTGTTAAAGCCATCCAGAACAATTACGAAATACATCTTTTTATATACTATTCCATATTACCCATTGCTATGTCTAACTACTGTAGACTTTGGTCTAATAAACACTTCCATTTAGGAAGAGTTACTCCAAAGAATTACTTCTCGGAAGCGTTGCGAGTAGCATTGCAGATGTATGATGTAGCGTTGCTCTGTTCTGAACGCTGCGTCGTCGGTGCTGTTTCCCAGCGCCGCTGCTGTTTCCCAGTGCCGCTGCATGCTTCCCTGGCACAGAGTGTCCGTTCCGGGATCGGTCAGAAGCAGAGTCCTTTCTGCTCCTAGCTCTTTAAAGACCTACGGCACCTTCTGAGGCTGCAGAAGCTGACCTCTACCTGCCTTAACCTCCTATTAAATTAATACTTGATCTGTCTTACCAGGAACAGTTGTGCTGTGCTGAAGATCTGGAAGGACTGTCCTTGGTGGACTGATGTTCTGCATTTCTTGATAGATCAACCCCTACATTGAAGCAAAGCATGTTCTGTGACCTCGGGGAAGTTTTTAAATTAAAGGCCGTTTTAAACCTTAGCTATTATAGTTAGATATGGGGAGTAACCTGCTAATCAAAGGACCTTCTTTGAGGTTTAAGTGAGAGAAACTTGCTGAGTGTGACATCCTTCGAGTGGCACAGATTTTGGTAGGGGGAATTCCTTGAAAGTTCGTGGCACTCCAAGCAGCAGAAATGTTTAGAGTAAATATTTCTTTCTAGCACAGAGAGTGATAATATATACCACTAAAATTCTAAGGTTTATAAGAACTTGCTGCAGAGTAAGTTGTGCTGTCAAGCAGAGAAATAGTGTGGTAAAACAGACTCTTTATACTAATCTTCTGAGGATCTTTGATGCTTTATACAGCAGTCACAGAAGATCTGCTGATCCTGTACAGACAGGAAGCTTCAGCACTGTTCGTAGCAAACCACCCCACGTATTTAATTTTCCTTGGCGTTGAAACCATAGATATTTTGTGGGTTTTTTTCCTCTGCCTTATATTTTTGGTAGAGAGGAATATTAGTGTATATTTGTAATCTTCATTTTTATTAATATCCTTGTTCATAAAGATCTAGATATTTTGGGGATTTTTTTTTTTTTTTTCTTCTGTGGTGTGTTTCCATATAGTTCACTTTGACAGGAAAGGCAGCAGTCTTTCAGAAGTGATGTTGTGTTGTTCTTGGTTGAACAACTTGGAGCATTTGAACAAGAGAGTAGCAAAACTTTCTGGCATCAACTTCTGAATGTATCTGCTGGGTCTGGCTGGGATGGAGTTAGTTTTCTTCACAGCAGCCTGTGTGGTGCTGCGTTTTGGATCTGTGTCTAAAACAGTGTTGATAACACCCCAGTGTGGTGTTGTTGCCGAGCAGTGCTTGCACAGCATCATGGCCTTCTCTTTTTCCTTGCTCTGCTCCACAGCGAGCAGGCTGGGGATGTGCAAGAGGCTGGGAGGGGACATGGCTGGGACAGCTGACCCCAGCTGACCAGAGGGCTCTCCCATGCCATAGAGCATCACACTCAGCAATAAAATCTGAGGGGTGGGGAGGTAGTCATTGCTCAGAGACTGGCTGGGCATTGGTCTGCTTGTAGGAGGTAGTGAGTGATTGCCACTGCGTCATTGTTTTGTTTTGTTTTTTCCTTCTTTCTTTCACTTATTAAGCTATCTTTACTTCAGCCAGTGCTTTTCCCATTCTCTCTCCCCATGCTTCTCTGGGGGGGTCAGCGAGCAGCTTGCATGGTGCTTAGCTGGTGGCCGGGGGTCAACCCACCCCACTGTACAATGTGTTTGTCTTTGAAAATGTGTTCCTGCTTCTGTAAACAATTTAAAGCTTCATGAAAAATAAAGAATTTCTATGACTCATGCAACTAGCTACGGGATTAGTGAGGGCAGTACGAGACCTTGGCAAATAGGTACAAATATATTTGCTTTTTTAAATTGCAACAAGCAGTTGCCCAGTCGCAAAGACCAACTTGCACAGCTGCCTCTTGTCCTTCACTAGTTCCTTCTTCTCAGCCGGTGGCCTAGTTGCTCGCTCCCTGCCTTACGCCGTGGTTCCTGGTCTGTGCAGACTGTGTCCCCCCGATGTGATGTGGCTCTCTTGCTCCCCAGCCTTCAGGCATGCTTCATGAGTTACCTGGCTCGTGGGGTGCCTCTGTGCTCCAGCATGTTCTTTCTGCCTGACCTGACAGTTCCTGGGGTACAAGGGGACCGTAAGCAAAAGCCCATGAGAGAACACTGGGAATACTCAAAGTAATTGTGGTTTTATGGGCAAAGTAGTCAATATGATGTTTTCCAAGGAAGAAACTTGACTCACGTGGGGAAAAATGAATACTAGACTACCTCTCATTAGCCTTTGATCCAGCAGTGATGGATAGTAGAATACTAACAAAACAAAATCTGCTTGTTTTAATCACTTCATTTCCCAGTAGCATTTTCAATATTCATGTTCTTGAGACACGTTCTAGATTTTTCTCAATCCTAAATGATAAAAGTGATAATGTCAACAAAAATGAAGATAATGCACTATTTGGTGTGTGTTGACAAACAATTCTGTACTGGGACCGTGTCTGGGAACCGCACGCTGCAGACTGGGCAGGAGGGGACTCGAGTCGCATCCTGGCAAAGAGCCTTTCAAGTAAAAAAGGCAGAAAATTGGTTCTTTTTTCCCCTTATGTCTTGTCATCATATTACATCATCAGTTGTACTTTCCTAGACAAATGCACTTGGATTATTTAGTGTTTCCCTGCAAATTTTTAGAGAAAAATAGAAATGTTAGAAATTACTGTTGCATTATTACAATTTAGTGTTAATGATGATCACAGTTAGCATAAAGAGAAACTTTGTTTCAGAATTCAGAGAGTTAAAAATAAGTTCCATGTGTTAAAATGACAGATAATGTTCTTAGTGCCTGATATTGTAAGCATAAGTCTATGAAATGTAGCCAGTCTCTTGGTTGTGGACAGGCAATACAAGCAGTTATTACAGTGTTTGTTCTGTCACCAACAAGGAAATACAGTAGAGACCACGCTAATTATAAAAAATTGATGAGATATATATTTTGGAACCACAGAGTTGTAGAGTTAAGATGGGAGAAACTGGGAACAGGGAGTGAGTTTTGCATCATTTTTAAAATGATGCACTGAAAACAAGGATTCCCATATCACATTTTTCACTTAAATTAGCAATCTGATTTTTCAAATGTTTTCGCTGGTACCACACAGTTGACTGGTGCATCTGTCTGCGTGTAGGCACCTGAGCCTAAAGCTAGGCAACACGGAGGAAAACCCAGCTGGTATGTGTCCCAGAAGGAAACTAGAACCAGCTAATAGGTTCATCAGAACTTGCAAACAGCTGCATTTCAAAGGAGAAGGTCTTCATGAGTCCTTCAGGAAGCTTGTGAACATCTGTTTGTATTCAGGTTTTTGTTTGTTTGCTTGTTTGAGGAGTTTTATTCATTTCTGCGACTGAATTAAACTTGTTTAGCAGTCATAATGTGGATGGCACTAGATGCTGTTGTTTGTTTCCAAATTGCTGTATGACATACGTACCACAGAATCATCAGATTTAGAATATTGCGAATTTAAATTGTGGGATGTTGGTGGAAGGGTTGGCAAAGAATTCCTGGATTTTGTTCCCAACTCTGTATTCTTTGAACTTTAAATATTTCAAGCATTTTTCTTTAGTTGGAGAGTTGTTTATTAAGTGAATGGATCACCTTGAGTTTTCATAATTAGCTGTCTTTGTCATTGCCTGATATGGCAGAGCTTATGTTCTTCTTCTTTTGACATTTCCAGGTATGAATACGAGCAAGAGTGAGACAGTGAAAGAGCATCCATTAAAACCCTCTAGAAGATCTATGCCATGCCTAGCCCAGAGCCAAACACATCCTCAGAGTCTGAGCAAGCATTCGTCATTTCTGCAGCCAAACCGTGTGCAGCCCCAGCCCCGGCCTCAGCCGTTAAGTGCAGGGACATCTACAGCTACAGTGGATGTAGTGTCAGAACGAGGTAGGAGGTTTTTCTCTTTCAGGAGCTTGTTCCAACACCGGGAACGGAAGGGATCGATGGGAACATCATTTGAAGTCCTGTAGTGTCTTACATATAATTTTTAGCATCTTCCATTAAATTATAGGGGCATTTGACAAGTTTTGATTTGTGTAGATACCTATGTATAGTTTGTTGGAGAGATATTTTTGCACAGAACAGCCAGAAGAACCATGGTACCGAATTCTTGATGTTTGAATAACGCTTGAAGTGAGGCTTAAAATATTTTTTTATTTTATTTTTCTGAATTACAAGATTATTTCCTTCTCACTGAAAACAAGACAAGAAATCGCTCCTGTATGCTGGGTAAGGGAATGAAGTTTTCTGTAGTCTGTCCTAGGGGAGAGAGAAAAAAGAAATATTAGGCTTTCGGCAAGAAATGTCTTTAACTACAAACATGTAGGAGCAGATGCATTAATTCCTGAATAGCAGCATCAGGGAAGAGTGGTATGGAGAGAATGAGAGAAAAGGGAGAAAATACCTATGAATTATAGCTTGTGTTGGAAAAAAGAACTACTTTCATTTTAGGATTTCTATTTTAAGAGATAAACATGGCCTTAATGGAGAGACTAGTCTACTTAGAGATCCCAGTCACTGTGCGTGTCACCTGTTGCCAGCTACTGCCATACACTATTGCCAACTCTGTGAACCTTTATGGAATATATTAACTTGCTGGCTTCTGCTACTAAATGTTGATAAGTCCTTCGGTAATGTTGATAGGCACTAATTATTACCCAGTGAGTTATTTCACCGAGTTAAACTTCTCTCAGGAATAGAATGAAAGTCTTCATTAAAGTGATCTTGTTCTTTTTTTCCACTAGTGGAAAGTGTTCTTCAAAATTTCAGCCTAAAGTTTTTCATTTGAGTCACTGACAGCTTTAAAAAGTGTATCTTACAAAATACATGTGAATGTTGATATGAATATTGCATTTATTCCAGCTAAAGTGATGGAGACTTTGGAAAACAACTTGCTTAAGCTGTCTAATACAGAATACAGTGATCCATTTTTAGGTAAGTTTGTGTCTGAACTGAAATAATAATAAATTAATGACTCTTTGATTACACTTGCAGTATTTTAAATGTGGAAAGGCCATACTTACCCTCAACTGCCCATTGTTTTGAAAGAGGAGACTGAATGGGACTGAAGAAATCTGTGCTGTCATAAATTTCATGATGGTTTCTCACCTTTTAGACTAAGAATAAATAGGGACTAAAGACAGAAAAGTGGTTTGTGGGTTTTTTTTATACATTCATTGTAACCTTTTCCCGTAATGTTCTTTTGTAATACAATCACTTGGAAGCATGTGTTTGAAATTCCTTTAAAATAGTTATTAAGTTGTTGTTATTCTTATAGAGTCATGTTATTCAGTATTGTCACAGCTGCAGTTATGTTTTTGTTTCAGATATTCACGTATATTTGCTTTAGATATTCATGTATAAAAAGTGTTCCAATCTGGGGGAAAAAGGGAAGAAAGTAATGCAGAAAAATAGCTATAATTGGGACATGTTTGTGCCTGCATTAATGCCATATTGATAATTAAATCAAAGAAAGTAGGAAAGGAGTTATTCTTAGAATAACGCCATCCTTCCAACTGCAAAATGAGTCTGTATCTACACAGGAGTAGTAATTTGCAAGTTCCAAAATTAATTGATTTTGAGATTCCCTGCCCTTGTATAGCCCATCTGAAGTACCCACAGGTGTTGCTGCATCTTACACACTACTGTGACAGATCTGTTTGCTCACAGTCAGTGTCGCATCAGACTAGAAATCCTCTCTTCATGCTGAAGGAAAGAGTTCTGCTTTCAGAAAGCTACTTCTGCTCACCTCTCACATGTTTTAGCATTGATTTTTCTTGATGCCCACACTATATGATAGGTAAGAGGCTCTTCAAGGTGCCCTAAAGAGTTAGCTACTGGAAATGTGAGTGAAATTGATACTTCCTCCAAAACAAAATCAAAATGTTCTGAAACATGACATGAACCAAAACTTTGTCATGAAGATTGTATAAGAAAATTATGCATCTTAGTAATGTTCCTGTTGAAGCTACTGCACTCAATATCATTTGTTTCATTGGGTAGGCAAGCACAGGTACTAGAAGACTTCACTGTTACAATTTGCTTCAGTTTTCTTATATCATGTTCTATGGGCCCCTCAGTTCAAGAAGGACAGGGAACTGCTTGAAAGAGTCCAGTGCAGAGGCACGAAGATGGTGAAGGGGGTGGAACATCTCTCTTCTGATGAAGGGCTGAGGGAGCTGGGTCTCTTGAGCTTGGAGAAGAGGAGACTGAGGGGTGACCTCATCGATGTTTATAAATACGTAAAGGGTGTCAGGAGGATGGAGCCGGGCTCTTCTCGGTGATGGCCAGTGACAGGACAAGGGGCAATGGGTGCAAGCTGGAGCACAGGAGGTTCCACATGAACATGAGGAAAAACTTTTTCCCTATGAAGGTGGCAGAGCCCTGGCACAGGCTGCCCAGGGAGGTTGTGGAGTCTCCTTCTCTGGAGACATTCAAAACCCGCCTGGATGCATTCCTGTGTGCTCTACTTTAGGTGTTCCTGCTTTGGCAGGGAGGGGTTGGACTAGATGATCTTTTGAGGTCCCTTCCAACCCCTAACGTTCTGTGATTCTGTGTGCTGATGTTATTTCATATTTATGTATGGCAGCAGTAACTTTCTCATAGTAAGTGATGCGCTATTTTCCATTCACATCACCTAGTTTTAACCTGAAAAGAAGCGTGGAGGGCTGAGCTATTGAGGAAAAGATAGATTGAGTCTCATCAGCTCAAAAGTGGAGTAAACTTCAGTGTCGATGTTTCTTCTCTTCTGACTACAGCTATGCTCTTTGAAGAAACGGAAAAATTTGAACGGTAGTCCTTTGCTAACTTGGTTCATTAGTTTGCCTGTGTTAATTGAGTCGATCCCAAATCAGATCATTGAAATTTGTGAAGTTACTCTGTATTTACAGAAGTGTAATTGATTAGGATGTTCAGCTACAAGCCAGAAAGGAAACCTTATTTATAAATAGATTCCAGAAGTCAGTAGTAAGAAATGCCTTAGATAAAACCCAGCGTTTTCACTTAGGTTCACGAAGAGAAATCAGGGAGAGTTAAAGGTGCATTTAAAAAAAATGGTTTTTCTGTAAGCCTTCAAAATAGTTTGTTTGCACTTGAGGATTGTATTTATGAGTGTAAGAATTTGTCTCCAGGACTAAAATTTTCACATTTATCCTGAATCTAGGGGAAAAAAGAAAGGGAGGGGGGAGGAATGTTGCTGCTTTAACTTCAGTCACCAAATAGGTGGAAACAATGCAGCACTGCTGCATGCTTTTGTTGGTACTCTGGCACTTTGCTGGAGTTTGCAAAATAGACTGATTATTGGGTATCGTCTTCTTAGTGAACCTTTTCAAATTGCTCTTCTGAGAATGTGAAAGAATGCTGGATTGAGTGAATGTGGTGAATTTTTAATTGGGCAGCATCATGGAACTGTGCATAAAATAAGCCAAATGGCTTTCTCCTCTTCCAGAGTTGTGTCCATAGGCAAACTATCCTCTTGTGACAAGGGGATAAAGAGGCATCAGATTAAGACTTCAGTGGAAAGGTTCTCTCGTATTTCAGTTGACTATAGATGAGGCCATAAATCTGTTGGACTTGTTTAGTTAGTGATATCGATGGATTTATAAAGTAAGAAGATAATGTATTGCACCTTTGTTACTGCTAACACAGACAAATGAGATCAAGGACATGATGGATTTATGGTTTTTTTCCTCTGTCAGTTTTAGGCGGTAAGTAGTGTTTTTAGTTTGAGCAATCAGTAAATTCAAGAAAAGTAATAGGCATTGAGCTTCTGTAACATGTAACGTGAACTGTGGGGTTTCAGACACACTGGAATTCTCAGTGCTTAGCAAAAGCTTCATGGAAATTCCCACCCACTGAAGGTAATGATCAGAGCTTTTGGGTCTTACCTTCGTGGAAATCACCTGTTGCTTGGATCTGGACACTAAGTAAAATGTTATGCCTTGCATTTCTTAAAGCATGGTTGTAGAATTTGGTGTTCAGTCCAGAGCAAAGTCATGTTATTGCTTCTACTTCCTTGAAAAAGTATTTTCTTTTTCTATATGTTTGCGTTCTAGAAGAATATGAGGTTCTGATTTAAGTGACCTGTGTCACTCGTTGTGACTTGAGTTCAGAAAAGGTAAAACTAAGTAAGATCAGAGGTCCCAGCTCACCAAAGAACGTTAATCCCTGCAGTTCCACTGCAGCTTTTTTTAAGATTTCTACTCCTCAAATTAGTGAAAGATTCCTGCTTTTCAGAAAATGCCTTTTTACCTAAGAATTTCTCCAAGAGACCAATATGCCTGCTAACCAATACAGTCTAGTTAGTGGAAAAACTAATTACAGCAAATTTATTCTCGACAAGACACATTCATTTTTGTCAACTCATTTAGCTGCAATTAGCTAGTCAAATGCTATAACCGCACACGTGGGGGAATTTTCTGAATAAGCTTTTTGATGAGAACTTTCCAATTTTTCAAGACTTCTTCAGAAATACTTACGCAAAGTTAGAAGAGGGTAGGATTTCTCGCCATGGGGGAGGCCACCGCAGAGAAATCACTACCCTGCTGCTGAAGCTGTGTGTCAGAGAAGTGGAAGACTGAGGTTCCAGTTACTGAATTGTGCAGGAAAGACCAACTTTGTAACATGGTTACAGACTGTCTTGAGGTAATTCTTGAAATTTTTCCTGAAAGATGCCTAAAGTTTGTGCTCTAGTATGAAATGTGAAGACTTCAGAGCAACTTTTATAGAAACAGTAGAAGAATTTGCTGCCTGGGTATATAATTGTTGATGCCAGACACAGGAGAGATGCTTGTGCGAGATGACAGAGGCAGTAAGGCTAAGTCTCGGTGTGGTATTTAGGTAACAAGAACAGTGTGTACCTGTGACACAGGACTTAACCTGGACTACTTTCTCATGTTGATGCAATAGTCACAAATACCTAAAAGGCATAGATTTATCAAAACAGGAAAAATCTTTTTCATACTTTTTGAAATTGAGCATCAGGATCTTATAAGAGGTAAATACAAGAAAAAATGAAAATAACTGGGGTTGTATTTGTAGATACATGTAAATTTGTGTTACACAAGAACCTGGACGTTAAAGTCTGAACTCATTACTGTAACGTTGTAATTCCACTGTCATCCATTTTTTAATACATGTGAAAGTCGCACCAATGACACTCAGGCATTTAACACTCATTCTCTCAAAGGGAATTCAATGTTATACTTTTTTTCCAAGTCTTCTGTCTGTGGATACTTGCTTTAAAATGTAGTGTGTATTTATATTCTGTTCTGTTTCTACTCTGCTTTGGTTTTCTTCTGAAAGACACGCTCAGTAATCACTTTGATCATGCCAGCTGGATTTAAGTAACATAGCTTTAACTTCAGTTACTGAATTTCTGGCTTTTCTGCAGCTACCAATAATAGCTTCTGGCTCTAGTTGAAGCTGGAAAAAAATAAGTGGGGAATGGTTAGTTCCTAGTAGCTGCATAGTAACTACATGCAGTGTGTCATATTAATAAAAAATTGTTTTCCTCTAGAACTTCTTTTTTTTTAAGTTCTAGAAACATAATGGAATTGCAGACACATTAAAATTTAGTGAGTTGTTCCAGGAGCTGCTCCACTGGTGCAGGGATATGCCTGTGTGCACATGCATGTATAAAGAAACAGTAATTGGTAAATGTTTAAAATAACGCCTTTCTTTTTCCTTAAAGGCCATCACGTGCATAAAGGGAATGAATCTGATCTTTGAATGATCACAGATTTGGCTAAACATCTTTTCTAAAAGAAATCTGAATGTAAACAATTTTGATGAAGGTTATTTGCACTAGAATTTCATCTCCATGAACAGTTGAAAAATCCTCTTCTGTAATCTCTGATAAAATTATAGGAGGTGATTGCTACATACCGTTTTGGAGTTTTGAGTGTGCTTGGGAAGTCAATTGACTAGTTTAAGAG